ATATAAAACAGCACCTGGTGGCAGAAGGGAAGGGCGTGGGGAGAAGACAGCATGCAAGAGAGGAAAGGGGAATTAGGAAGGAGAGAATGAGAAAAATAAAATTACGCTTAAGCATGACAAATATAGACAGAACACAAGCCAACAATTCAAGGCATTGCTTCTGATGTTATTTTAGAAAGTCTGCTTAGCAACAATAGCTCTTACAACATTTCAAAGCAAATATTTAAGTATGTCTATTGTATAGTTACATTTTAAAATAGATGTAATGTATATTATATATACATATGTGTATAATACATACTTGTCAATCATTCAGATTTTTCTGTCAGTCATTCAGATTTTTTTCCCCAATTGATCCAGTTACTGAGTGACTGACAGAAAAAAGCTGTTCCTGGCACACCGCATAAGTTCTTGTTCATTTGTAGTACATTAAAGTCTCTCTCTGTTATGAATCAGAGACACCAGATGATCTCCATTCCAGAACTCTGACAAAAACCTATGCAAAAACATCTCTTCTAAGAAAGTATATTAAAGATATGCAGACAAATGAAAAACAGGAAAAATGCAGCATGCATCATAGGCATCTTCCTATGATTAAAAAAAATCTTCTGGAAACAGAGAACATGACTGATACTAACTTTGGCAAAGCACTTAAGGCAAAACATGGGAAAACAGAAACTCCTTAATTAAATCCGAGAGACTGGGATCAGCAAATTAGTTAGGAATTCAAAAGGGGGTGTCAAAGGCTAGCAATGAAACAGGAAACACAAGGCAGACTGAATATTACTACTGGAGTTCCTTCAAGATAAGCCTTCAGGGGTGAGGAAAGAAAAAAAAAAAAAACCAAACCCAAAATGAAAAAAACCCCACAAAAGTCAACTTATTTAACTATGCTATTTTTACCTCCTCAAGCAGCACAATACTCGTAAAAAATACACGAGCATTACAAGGAATCTACAATGCAAAGGAAAGCAGAATGATGTAACTTGATGACTTTGTAGGCCAGTTTAATAGGTATATGATGAAATTAAAAGTACAAGTTTGTGGACTTAGACTTAATAAAAGAACATCTGCTGTAAGCTAGAAAGACACTTCAGAAGTGACTGATGAATAACAACTCGTGATCCACCAGTATTTCCAAGTCTACAAGCTAGTGATTTGATGGAACCAAGAGAGAGAAAGACCTATGCAGACCTAACACATACCAAATGAAGTTTAATGGTACCTCAGCTAGAAATAGACTACGTATATTATCTTGCACAATTTGTTTGTTTTTTCTATATTCATTACCAGTGAATTCAAACTGCAAAAGCCACATAAAAAATATGAGAAGAACAATCGGCTCATCTGAGGACAGAACTTCTGCTAACTCCAATGGGAATAAAAAAGTCTAACATCTTTTAAGATGTTGCTCTGTAATATGCATATACGAAAGATATATGATACAATAGCAAGGAACTACAACAGCAACCCTACATTACCCCTAGAGGTTTAGATTCGCAGGTACCATGTATTCCTAGCCAAACTTATTTTTAAGCCTACAGAAATAATTAAGTCTTTAAAGAAGTACCTTGCTTTCAAGAAATCTATTCCAGTCTAGTTTTTTGTCTGGCTATACCGCTCACTTAAGCTGAGTACTTTTCTATATTTGCTCCAAGAAAGACAGCAGAGGGACTTCAATCTGTATGGGTGCACACTTCCTTACCCCTCCCAGCTCCATTATATAGCCTACAACATTTACATCAGCAAACTGGGTGGTTCTGGCAGCAGAAAGTCAAATGATCACCATCTGGAAGTAGTCTTCCAGCCTAGTAACAGCCAAGAGGTGAAAGAAAAATCCTTTAGCCTGTGGAAAGGCATCAACCAAATCACTAAGGATTAAAGGAAATCAGTCTGCGGCATTCAGGCATTTTTCAGCTCAAGGAAAATTGGCATTACTAGTGGCTTCTTGCATATTATATTTCAGGTCTTTGAACATACAGATATCCACAGTTGTTCTGGAACCTTAACATCTGCCAGAAAACAGGCACTGCCAGAAAACCAAAATTCTTCCTTTTGAAATTGCAAGTGTTGTCTTCCTGTTTGACCTTAGTGAAAAACAAAAACAAAGCAACCTGCAGGTTTATTCAGTAAGCATCCAGCTATTCTCAAAATAATTTCATATGTTTAAGTCATATGAACATCCTCGGGAAACCCTCCCTCTCCCCTCTTCTGTCCATTTATGTCTTGTGGTCTGAGCAGCTTCAGAAAATAATTGTTGCTCAGTGTTTTGTTTATATATGTCCTCATGCTGAACTGACTCGATGAAATGCTATTGTAAGTTTTGAAACAGATCAATACAGATACTTTACAAAATCTTAACTGGAAAATATTTTTTCCTCTAATGTTTTCAAAAAAAAAAAAAAAAAAAATCACCGTAGACTTTCAGAATGTATGAAGTTATTTTTGGGAAGAAGCTTGCATATCAAGGCTTGATTACATACATGTCTACATTTGCACTCCTACTATGTCATACTCATATTTTCTCAAGTATACCTTCTGCATAGCCTTTAATATAGCAGTCTTTAGCACATGATTCTAATGCAGAAACTGAATTTATTCTCATCAATAAATACTTAGAACTGTCAAGCTGTATCTAACTTACAGAACTAAGTGACAAATGCAAAAGCTTTGGAGAAGCTGCTGCTTCTATTTTTAAAAGCCATATTTGCTGCTTCACAAAAGATACCTAGGCCTTGGATACAGAATTTATAAAAAAACGCAACTGTTTTGATATCTTGCAGATTAAGACCTACTGACTTTCCAGTTGCAGCTAACAGGAAATTCTAACGTTCCTTCTCAGCACTCTGAAGCAGCTGGGTTTTAACACAGCATGCTCGCTGAAGAAAAAGCGAAATTTGAGAAACTGAAACAAAACTTAAAATAAAAATTTAGAAGAAACAAAACTAAACAAAATCCCTGCATAAGTGTGTCTGGGAGCTGACAGTCATTTCACTGAAAGTTCTTGTGCTGGGTTGTTAATACATACACAAGAGAAGAAAACAAATGTATCTACTATTTCACATCTGCTTGTACATTTTGCATATGCCACTTACATTGCTAAGATAGCACTGCTTCTGAGGCAGTAAGATAGCCCAAAGAAAACACTGAGCCTAGAATTCAACAGTTTTTACCAATTTATAACCTGAGCTGAGCCTGACCTAACAGATGTGGCTCTTTACATCGCCTCCTGCAGGTGTCCGTGCAACTCAGGTTTGCAGGACACTTCTAGCACTTGTTTCCTTTGGTCTGCCTATTTAAAACCCAAACCAGAAGTTCTACTTACTGAATCCCGTAAAGCTGTATGCTCCCTTTTAGGCACCAGAATCTCCTGTCGGTTCCTTCACACAGGGACCTATTTGCATCACATCAATCCTTTCCTATATTTTATAATATGTTAAGTTTCTCCACTCACATTTAATCACATTTTACTCACTCTGGCTGGGACAGCTATTAGTAAGGCGGAATGTGGACAGAAGTGGAGGCAAATTTTTACGTGAAGACACAGCAGTTACTTTGAGCATAATTTCCCAATTTATATATGGATGCAAAGTTGTTGATACGACTTCAGGTACTTTTATTTTACTTTAATTTGTTTTCCATTAGTACATTCTACATTAACTTCATATGAAAAAAATTAACTATTGTATTTCTATTTCAATTACCTGCCTCAGCTTACAAAATGTTACCTTTTTCTCTAGAAGAATCAATTTAAAAAGGATCAAGACCTGAAAAATACAAAAAGGAAAAACATGGTGAGTGAACCAGTGCCATTTATCAAAACCACTGTGCAAGCATAATCTCTTATTCAAGATCTCACATTAATCACTGTGTAACTGTCAAATGATCAAATATATTTGAGCAGTTAAAATCAGTGTTCCAATACTCTTACTCCACTTCAGCACTCTTTAAAAGAGCATTTGAGATGCACAAATAAAAACCTGTGTGAAGAATTGTGTAATTTGAAGCACACAAAGCTTATTTATAAGAAAGAACACATTGTATAACTCCAGAATTTTAAAAAGCAGTAAACTGCACAAACATAAAAGAGTTTCCCCACAGAAATACAGAAAAGAACTCAGCAAAATACCAAGAACAGCATTCACCTCACCTACTTTTAGGCATCTACAGATGAGGCATCTAGATCAGAAGTGGCTGTCCAGACTCCCTACACTCAAACACAGACGCTTCTGGGGCATGACTGGCAGACATCTGAAGTTAAACAACAATGAGTTCTACCCCAAAAATCTCCTCAGCAGGCGCAAATACACCATGAAATTCAGATTCTCTAATTTGTTTCCTTGATGCCTCTCAGTTAATAAAAGACTCTAAATGATAGCATTTAGAATTTGTACCTCTTTGCACAAATTTGCATCTATTTGTACCTTAGCTATACAATACACACTCAAATTCAAAAGAAGAAGTGCAAGTCCCCTCAGGTTCTATGATGGCAGGAACTGCAAAAGTTACAAGACACAGGGAAAAATGCTCCAAGTTGTCTCTGCATGGACTTTAGCAATATTCTTCTATCACATTCATCTGATGAGAAGCAGGAAATAGAAACAAGACCATACTGAGATACCACTTGTACTTTGGGACAAGTCTAAAGAAATGCCCCACAAACCTAGAAATCTCCAGGGAACTCAGCAGACAGACGAAACTTCTTAGTCTGGAACTTACTTTCACTGATGTTAATTAGGCGGAAGGGAAAGGGAAATCAGGAGGCTATAACCAGAAGTACTTAGGAAACAGTCATCGTACTCCTAGCTCAGGTATGTCTAGACATGTTTAATTTTTAGTTCCCCACAAAGCTTTTTACTCTACAAAATAAGAGAAGGCAGAGAACGCCTACCTTGTGTCTAAAGTGAAGAACGAGATCCCGAGGAGACAGACCTGAGATACCAAACAGAGAGCAACTGTTACAGTTTAATAGCTAGCAGAGACACTAACTTACTTCTCATCACCACTTTTCAGGGGGAGGGGGACACCTATTATGCATTCTATGTAAACCTGGTTATTTCAACAGCAGAACTCATATCAAATTCTTTCTTTTGAGCAGGAGCAAGAATTAAATCTACAATAGAGACAATAATAATGTGAAGTCATGCTCTGAGTTACTCCCGTTGGCTGCCACACAGCATTATGGAAACACTGAGTTAAATACTACACTGTGCATTCCGAAAACACAGGGAAGAATCAGAATTAAACGGGACAAACCCCAAATAACAGGCAGATGAAAGCTTGAGCACCCCACACCGTCAAATAGTTCCATCTAAAAATTAAGAAAGTACTATCTCCCAAAAGCAGTCAAGCAGTCTCTTGTCAGACTGTTAGGTCAAGAGGTAACATGGCTTTCAACCTACAACTAACTCCTACTACAAAAGCAACACTACATTCATTTGACATTTATTTAAATCCATTAATTAAAAAAAAAAGTAAAACAGAATACTGTGCAGGCACACAGACCTCTCGTGCTTAATCTGGTAATGCACATAAACAAATTAGCTCAGGAAGGGACTGTGTCGATTAGTATAACGTTATCTCTGCTGCTTGTACAAAAAAGTCACTTACCAAGATAAACTTGTGACCCTTCTAGCAAGGTACTGCTCAAGGAATTATTCATATGATCATAAAGTTCCTATAAAAGTTAGAACAAAGGTAAAAAAACCCAGAAGCTGTTAATGGTATATGGTCACATAAAATCCAGAATAAGTAAAATTCACTTTTTCAAGGATTTCAATGTCTCATTCCAGAAAGAAATTAAAATTCTAATAATGAAGTCAACAGAGACAGAGGCTGACAATCGCACTCATTCTCGTGTTTCATTACAAGTCAAAAAGTTGACCCTCTGTCACATTAGGGTAGTTAATTTAGTTCGTGTTAAGTTATTGCAAGAGCTGAATAAATGCGTGACCTATGTGAATGGAATATTTGAGTGCTAATTAAAAACACTAAAATCCACAGCCATACACTGAAAGCTTTGTTCTGTGTGGTTATTACTTAAAAGTTACCTTTAGAATTGAAATTTGCGAGAAGTCTTTTTCTTCAAAATACGCATGTGTAATGAGTTGCAGCTTTGCCTGAAGTAACCCATACAAAGGCTTGAAAGAAAACCAAACACAAAAGCAAGTGAAGAAAACTTACTTAGTCACTCATTTTGAATTTTAAACTTCTTCCATTCTTATCTTACACTATAGACATATTATTACACATAGAGTTCATGGAGAGGCACTCCTTAGTTGCTAACTCACAGCATCTTTCTCCTGTAGTTGTTTTAAATAATGATAATTCTATTTTCTTTCCATTGGCAGACACCATACCATCACTGAACATCTTTCTGGAAAAGTACTTTCCTGCTTTACCATTGCTTATGCAGGTCCAGTAACAGTTCTTTCTTCAGCTTTAAGCACAGAAAGAATTTCTGTTCCCTCCCTGGCGACCAGTAGCTTTTGCTAAATAGGTGAAAATAAAAGATGTTCCTTCAAAACAAGAGTATGCTGCATGCATGACTACCTTAAACTCTTCCATAGTTGTCAACAGCCACTCTCTCCAGTTAATTATAATGGCCAAACCCCTCAATCCTACTACATAAAAAAATAAGTTAGTGGCACTCTAGAATAATCAAAAGTGCAAATAGATATCCCGGGCCCTGACAACAGGCAGATACTTTCACAATTACTGTTACAAGGAGATGCCAATTCAAAGCCGCTCACTCAAATGCCATAGCCTTTCGAGTCAATTTAACTTCAGTATTTTGTTACCCTCTGCAACATTTTAAAGACAGATGCTTGGACCCAGAAGTTCCAAATAAGAATATGGAAAACAAAAAAATTTTAATATGTTGTTTTGAAGTATTTTAGTAGTAAACAAACATTCTTACCAGCTGACTGAGAACACAGACACTTTTCTGTACTGTTTCTCTGGTGATGTCTGCTTGCCGTACTTTTAATGCCTAAGAAATAGAAGTATTACAGTATTTTTACCCACACACAATTTCAAAAAGAATTATTTCACAGGTCTAGTTGCCATATACCATCCCCCTCTTTAAACAAAATCCTAAAACTGGCTGCCTTTAGTGGTGGAACATCCAAACCATATAACAGTATTCCCTTACCTAGTAAAAATGGTCATAACACTGATAAGTCGTAGTTGTGTTCTCATCTCACTGTGCACAGCAAAGATTCAAACACAGCCGTGACGAGAGGCAGAGGACTGTTTAAAAGACACTAGCATGAGAAACCGGCAATAGCCCTGGACAAGGCAACAGCATTTCAACTCAAGGTAATGTAACAGAAGAGAAGCCACAAGACGTTGCTTGTTCTTCTGTAACATTACCTGTGAAAATGAACCTTGTTGAAAAGTTTTTGCCTAGAAATTGTTCAGTTTGTACTAGAGGATTTTCTTTGAGCCACCCATAAAATAAAAAAGGTATCATCTGCAGTATTAGCTACATTCTCAGTCAGACCAAACGGTCCCAGCATTTAACAGCAGACCTAGAAGGGGCAGGGGCAGAAATACAGCCAAGTGACTCACTTAATTGTACAAAACACCGAGTGTGCAGACTGCAGCCCACACATCAAAAAGGACAAATGGAAAGAGTGCTAGAGCTGTCCTATGAAAAACATTGTTTTAGATTCTGCTTCTTCCAAAAAGTTCATTTTAAACATCTATTTATCTTCTTAATTGGTTACTAAACAGCATAAACTGGAATCGAGAGCACAATAAAGCCAAGTTATTGCATAGTTAAACAGAGCAAGATGCTAACCACAGATTTAGTTCAAAAGAAACAGAAATAAAATGTGCACGTGTACAATTTCTCCTACAGCATAAAACAGGAACCTGAAATAGAATCAAAGTATGATTAACACTAAAACAGAGAACATAATGTACATCTTCTGAATACAAGACTCATTTAAAACTCAAATCCACGTGGCATTCCAGATTCTTGGCATTTCACTGGAAAAGGGAGTAATTTTTAAAGAAACTTGTAATAACTTCTCAATTGTAAGTGTACAGATCATACTGCCATCATTACTTTTGAAAATATGGGCAGATTCTAGTAGATCAAGTACATAACTTCCTCAATGTGATAAGGGGCACTGTAGCTCCAATCGATTTTTCAGCTTTACTGCCAAAGTTCAGTATCACTAGGCAGCTACAATGAATGGAAGATTCTGGTCTACTTTGCAGGCGTACTTTTGGCAAAGGAGGCAGGTGAAGAGAAACATCACTACACTTGCATGGTCAGATCCCAGGAAATACTCTACATTTCTTCATGGTCACACACTGGAGAAATTTCAACTTCTTCCAAGCAAGAGGCCTACTTCCCGGAAACATGCCTTGGCCACCTGACAGACTGTCAGCTTCATTTTGCTATTTGGTGCCGACGCCTGGGTTAGCTCTCAAGAACGAAATCATACAAGTACTAAACATATAAACCTTCAATGTTTCAAAAGAACACAATATGCTTGCTGACATTAGGGAAAGAAACAGTTCTCCAGTTCTGTACCTACCTACTGTGCACATTGTCATAGACTTTTAGCTGATCACGCAGTTTGACTGTTGGTGTAATGCAGGTCACTGAATTTTAGCGTCGTTAATGCATCGAGCCTATTATTTCATTAATATAATCAACTTGGAACATTACCTTCGCTTCAATCTGCCTATAGCAAGAGACTCCATATACTGTGGTTCGATCCCCACATCTCGGTGGCAAATGGAAAAACACGGTATCTATGAAAAAGAAAAGACTGTTTCATAAGTCACTAACAAGAGTTCAGTATTTTTGTTTTCAGCATCACTTATTTATAAAAGGTTTACTGCTGAAAGTATTGGTGTATTTACTTCTGGAGACTCAAAAAAAAAAAAATAGACAGAAAAAGTCATCCATAAAGCTACGCCTACACCCAAATTACTTTTCAAATTGCAAGACACGTTGTGGAAGAAGCTCCAGCCGTGCTAATATGGGTATTCTGACAACAGCCTCATGTTTAGCCTGACCAAGCTCCTATAAGCCCACTGACAGGTTTTCAGAAGCAGCTATTGACAGCAGAGAAGCACCACTGAAACCTACAGGCAGGCTGCTTTCCCAATTCAGTACAAAGAAGCAAAGACAAGGCGCTATGAGGCAAGGCATACAGTTGCGAGTGTGATGCCATTAAGAAGGTAAATGCAATGAAAATAGAGAAAAAAAAAACAACACCAAGGAGGACATATAAAATTGAAAGATTAGAGCAGTTGCTACCACTGCCAAGGTAGGTAACCACGCAGCAGCACCACTATGCTACACAAAAAGGATTTGTGAATCCTAGTCTTACACAAAATAATTACTGTCTCTCTGCAAGTGTGACATAAAAGAAAATAACTCTATAAAATACAACAAGAGCTTGAGATACACACACACACGCACGCACTTGCTAATACTGTAGAAAAGTTGCTAACTCCCAAGTACAGGAGAAGACATTATTACTGTTTGCCTTTCAAAATACAAATGAAATCTGTTTTGAAACCAACTATTAATTTTTTGTTTACTTCAATAGCAACACAATGAACAGAAGCGACAATCCTATATGCATGAAGTCCAACATAAAGAGGGGCCGTTTATAACAAAGCTAATTCCCTTGAACAAGTTTAATTGTATTCTGGAGATCACCTACGGTTTTAGAAAGCCTTTAAAACTATTTCCTATACCATGTCATCCTCTTTGAAAAATGCAACTACCAGTGGGAATTACTTTAAAATGCAAAAACAGATATCTAAAAGTTACAGTAAATGTAACAGAACTATTATCTAAAACATATTTGCCTGTTTCAAGTTCATGCCTATTCTTGACTACAAAACACAAGGTTTTGTCGCCAAGTCTTTTTTTTTTTCCCTTAACAAAAAATACACATTGATAATCTTTCAGTGCAGCAATGAAAATGTTCAAAGTTGAGTAGTAACTAGAATGGCACTGAGCCAAAAGGAAACAGGTAAGTGCAACAGCATATGATTTTCCTGGCTTCGAATGCAGCCTACTGCTTGTTACATATTTAACAATGCAGAAATAGAATAAAAATTATGACCCAGAGCAGAGTCAGAGACACTCTTATTGCTGCTAGGAAGGGGATTATTTTGATATGACTACCTCTGCTTCCAAATGAGATCTCTGGAAGCTGGAGAATTAGGGAAGTACATTAAGTTAAAAAAAAAACAAACAACCCTCAATCTTATTAACTGTAGTCTTAAAGGGTTTCTGTGATTTTGGTGTTTCAAGTGACTTCCTTCTTCACTGCTGTGCAGAAAAAAGATGAAACAATTGAACATGCATATAAACATCACAGTGATGAACTGAACTGCTGTCAAATAAACAAAGAAATAAATGCAATGCTACACAAAAAAACTTGTGGCAGAGAACTTGCTGGTAACTACATGGCAAAAGAATCATTCTATCCTCATTCTGATGACTGATATACTAAAGATCCTGTTTCGGCCCTTTACATTTGCCCATTTTCAAAATACATCATTCTATAGACACTGAATGACTTGTAGGTCATTCTAAGAATCTTCAAAATAGTGTAGGAAAACAAAAATCATAATGACTACAAACACTACAAAGCTAAATTTTAGAATTTCATTTTTCCCTTACCTCAAAACTGGATTAGGTTTTACTCAAGAGTTTATTCCCCCTACTAAGAACTTCTGAGAAACCTGGTAGCCTTGTTTTGCGCTAGGACTACTTACCCTTAAGCTTTTATTGACATCTGATTTCTCGATGTAGGAGGTACACCTTTATGATCTACTTTCACTTTAAAGTCTAAAGCAACACATCATTGCCAATGTATTTTACAGCTTAAACAAAAAGTACAGAAGTCTAATAGTGAAAAGAATTGTTGATCAACTGTTCAGATTCCAGGATTCTTCTTTCGGTTGCAGCAGAAGTACAACTTCTCTCCTTTCTTACCTTCCTGATAGTTGTGAGCGCCATCTGGTAAGGCAAGAAATGGCAAGTATTTCCATTCCTCTGGTAAACTGTGGCTGTCATGGCCTTCCGCAGGCTTTAGGGGCGGATAGGAAAACTCCACCTAATGAGACAAACACAAATCGAGGGGAGGCAAAGAAAGAATACATAATGTTGCCAAACAAGCAAGCCTCTGTAATTCAGCCTAGCACCTTTTCTTTAGCAATAGTATGAAACAAAATTTTTCTTGCTACTAGCACTCCTTGTCTCTTCCTCCAAAGCACCCACGGACCGACTTGTATGTGGTCTACCTGACAGGCCCCAGGGCAGATTTGGCTTCTGCGGTGCTTCTGTCCAGCCTAGTACCTTTTCCTCAAGAGAAACATGAAACAGATGTTCAAGCAGAAAACATCACCCAGCAGCTGAATACCTTCTCCCCCATATGCACGCAGCCAGCAGCACGCTGATGCACCTGCAATGTCAGCGGGGGTCATTGCTGGGGCACACACATCCTCAGACCAGATTTGGTTTCTCAGTCCCTCAAGTGCTCATGACTAGGTAACACACTAACACATGCAAGCCTCTATTTTACCCTATGGGATGCTGAATAATGGCAGAAACTACGCTAACAGCAAAATACTGCTTTTCAGTGATTTTATGCCCTTGACTGCAATGAGTGCTACACATTGGCCTGAATTTGTTCTTTTTCCTTTCCCCAAGAAATCCTGCCTTTCAATTTCACCTTTCATTTATTTGCATTTACCCCTTTTTCCCCAGTAACAGGGACAAACTTTCTATTCCTCGCACTACATTACATGTCTACCACAGATCCTCATAATCAGCATCCTCACAGTACTATCCTTTCATCTTCTTTTCCTATGGAGACCCCTCTGGGTTTCCAGCCACTTTCACCAACTCTTTTTTTTCCAGACATGCATTTCTAAAATTACTGAACAAAATCTAACCACAAATTTATCAGTAAAAGAAACTGTTTAAAGATACTGCAACTTCTTTTGAAGGACATTTAGCAATAAACTAGTCAGCTGTAAAATGTGTACATGAAACTAAAAAAAGCATGACAAAGCAAGTGCACAGAAAATCTTAACATTTGATGGATGATAGAATAAAAACACTGTAAAGGATCAGAGTACTGAAGAAATGGGAAATAAATCATGAAAACTGAAATTCTTCACCATAACACACGGTGTCACTGTTTCTACAACTGTTGCCAACTTGGAAAAAAGCACAAAGGACAAGAAAACGCTAAAAGAAATCAGCCTTGCTACTTGCTGTATCAATTTCAGGTCTTCTTATTCCTCGGATCATAAGAGATCTTGAAAATACCCACAAAAAAATAAAGGTCCAGTGAAAGACCAAAGTCCTAATCTAAAGATAAGCAACCCACAAAGAACAATTACGCAAGCTGGGGGGGGGAGCAGGGAGAAGAAACATGCAATCGAAAAAGGATTACTTTTGGCAGGGGAAAGCTGAAGGAATCCAGACCCTGACTTGTAGTTTGTTATCAAGCATCCATAGAGCCTTTGAAACAAAATATGACCTTAAGCAAAACAGAAGAGCATCCAGCTTGCAAACCAGAGAGAAACACTGGAATTAGCATCTAAGCAAGGAGCAGAGAAACTGCTTGCTATTTAGCACACACACAAATCTTGGAATTCTGTGCTATCCTTTTCAGATCACAGATTATAAGAAAATTTAAATGTTAGAAGCTTCATGTAAATACCTGCAATATAGAAGAGGATCACACCACACTATTTCGACGCTGTCCAGATTCAAATTTGCTGGCTGAAAACACTGTTTACAGAATTATTACTGGATTCTTGCAGGACGAGTAACCTTAGCAATAAACAAAGCATGGTTCCTAAGTTTCGAAACACAGATAGTTGAGGAGCATCTACACTAATGTCCTGAATCAGGTATTTTCTTTCCCTGCATGGCCAACAGAGAGGGACGGATTCACTCTCTGCAGGAGCTTCTTTCCATCAAATACAGAGGAAGCCCTCGGTCTCGTAGATTTCAGTGAACACCTTCACAGCATCATTCCTGACAGGGTAATACCGTAAGCAAGGACCTAAGACACCATTGCCTCCAAGCACTTACAGAATTACAATTGTATTTTGCATTCCAACCAAAATAATGAATTAGAAGACATATTTAAAGGAAAGAAGGGTAGGACAATTCAAGCTACATGAAAAGATCTGTATTCACTGAAGAATATATTTTTTTTAAAGTCCAGAATAAAGCTGAGAGATCTGGCTGCTGTGTTCTTCTGACAATGTGAAATTTGCGGAAGTACCACCTTGTTCTAGCTCAAAATGTGCTACTGACACCTCTGCTGCTATCCGATACTCCCAGCAACAGGGATTTCTGCAGGCTCCGACTGTTCCAAATTCAACAAACTGAACAGGCATTAGTGACACTGATTATAATCTTGTTTTATATTAGTTTGCTTCTTTCAAAAATATGTGTTCTATTACAGAGATTTCTGTATACGAGAGAAAAAAAAAACCCCACAAAACTCAGATAAAGCAGAATTAAGATTAAGTGGCCCTAAATAATCTATTTTACAGATACACTTTATGATAGACCTGACTTGCATTATGACACACTATCCCTCCCCAAGAGGATCCATGTAGGAAGTACCCTGCTTTCTAAGGAGGAATCATATTTGTGTGGTTTAATAAATTGCTGCTTGTAGAAGAAGTACCGCCTCATACTGCAGAGGCTGAAAGGGTGGAAGTAACAAAGAGGCAGGAAAAGGGACAATCCAACAGCGAGAACAGCATGCAATGCCCTGCAGAACTGCCTTCCACCCCTCCTACGACTTAACTCTTTGAAATTAAATCACTGGGAACTCTTTAAGTCAAACTTTTTCACAAGTGGTCACTGCAGGTGGGATTTATGTCAGCTGACGACATGTGCAAAAGCAGGATCCCCTAGACAGTTTTTCTAAGCATTCTGCACAGTCAGAGGAAACAGACACCTGCAGGGGATGATTCATCTGATCTGTTTCTTTCCATCTCCTCTGAAGAGAGCTAGCTCAGACTGCTATGTCTAACTTGCAGAGGACTGAATTAATGCAGATGAAACTCACTCTTAACTGTTCCTCATCTTCTAGACATTCTGCTTGATTTCTACAGCTCAGTTTGCAGACTTGCATCAATTGCAGTTAGGAATCCTCTGCATAGAAAACACATTATTTCAAAACCAAAGGTATTATAAGAACATTGAGTAGCTTTAAAAAGTACCAAAACCCCACATATCTTGAAAATCTTGAAACTGAGCAGTGCACATGTACAAAAGTAGTAATTGTGGGGTAAAGAGAATCTCAGTTCTATCACTTCTGATTTTTTGAACAACTAGAGCCTGAGTAAAATCCTTCTCTCAGCCTGTGTGTGCAAATTGTATAGTATAGTGCCATACTATATACCATACATAAGGTATGTCAAATATTTTTTATCTCATCTTCCACTTTAAACCCAAGACCCACCATGACAGGGGGATGGGATGGGACAGGACTACAGAAGAGACCTGTCCAACAGCTCTTTTTCTTCCTCTTCACAGAATGAAGAAAGAGGAGCTCATTTTTTATTTAAATACATTTGATTTTAATGTAAATCCATACATATATGCATGCGCATGCATAAACATGCACTTCAGTTTCCCTATTTGTCATTAATACATATATGCATTACTAAAAATCCCTGCAAATATGAGAAATAAAGTCTTAATAAAGCTCAGTAGTCAACAGAACAAAGAAATACATGCAAGTTTTCAGAGATGACTGCCAGAGCAGATTTTACAGCTTTTTGTCTCCTCAAGTGAATTAAAAAAAAAAAACTCAACAAAATGAAATTCAAATTCAAAGCTGAACTCCTCAGAGACTTCAGAACAGGCTACATAAAACATGAACTAGAATCTTCACTCATTTCTCACTCTTCCAAGCATCAGGGATCTTCATTGCAGCTGGAAATATTGATTATGCCTGTCAAGGGGTTTCAGTGGCAAAGCTTTCTGCCTGTTCAGATTGTCTTGTTCCATAAGCAGACAGCTCTGGATGGATTTCAGAACTAAAATCAATACAGAATATTGTGCTGTGATTTAGTGGAGAAATAAATAACTGCTCTTCACTAGACAAAGTATTTCAACTCTTGGGGATTACTAAGTTAAAATAAAATGTAAGTCTAAAAAAATCCCTAAACTGAAGTACAACTGAATTTCTGGAACTGACATTTTTATTTTTCTGTAATTCTGCTGCATTAATTAACCTTTTATATGCAGTCTGTATTGACTCTGACAGTTTAGATGCAAAGCACCTACTGAAACACAATAGTATCTTGTTTGTGGAATGAAAAAAAAAGTCCAGGCAATCTGTTTTGGTTCCTTGTCTTTAAAGGGACAACTTCGCCAGAACAAATTTACTAGACATTCATTAACTCTAAGAAAAGATCAGTGCAGGCAAGGAAAAATGTATTTTGGCTCCTACATTTAGGAACTGACATGATAGCTTTTCTTTAAAAAAATGCAATGATATTGTCTTCTACTAAATTACAAGTACAGAATCAGAAGAGTGGATAAAAAAAAGGACATTGATAAGAGAGGAATTTCCCAAATAAATGGGCATGTCTACCTAAACTATCACACTCAAACATTAGACAGGTAGTTGGCTAATTTTTGGTGAACTTTATATGTGGGTAAGGTTGCTTTCCTTATGTGTGAAAAGTATCCAGTGTTAGCAATCACAGTAAGAGTAAGATCCTCAGTGAACACTAAACAGGGATAATTTAAAATGTGCTGGCAAGTCAGTATAAACTCCCCATCCTCCCCCCATCTACTGTCATACGTTTAAACTACAGTTACAACATAAGCTCTCCTCTTTAACAGGGGTATTTTTGAAGATTTCTCTTCAGACTAGAAATGAAAAAAAATCTGGACTCAAGTAAGTTTTTCCATTGGTTCAATGGAGAGAGGGTTTAATCTCAAATCTCTAAAAAGAATCTGAAATATTTAGAATAAAAGTATTATATTAAAGACAAGGATGCTTTCAGTAAGTTGCAGAATTTAATTTAAAGGAGCAAACCCATCCCATTCTCTGAACAACTCTCTCCCATTGCTTGTACTGAGCCAATAGGTAGAACAATTGCTTCAAATAAAGATCAGCAAAACCCACTCATTACATTCCTATTTAGAAAAACTTTTCCCTTCATAAATAAATTTCACGCATTTCATTTTGAGGATACCAACTCCTCCTCTCTCATTTAAGAAAGAAAAGCAGAAGTATGTTGAGTATTGAGCCTCATGCTAAGCAGCAGTGACAAGAAACCCAAACAGATTAAACTCACACCTGAAACTTGATCCCTCATTTCAAATAAGTCAGTACTCATTCTTCACCTGAAGTAGGGATTTTTAAAAGTTTTCTTGATA